ATTTTTTTAAAATCCTTTGAACAGTACCATAACTGAAATTAGAGTCCTTGAGAATATCTGTTATTGAATTCTCACGATAAGCTTCAAAATATCCAATAACTGCAATTTCCGTGGCCTCGCTTATTATGAATTCTTTTTTTGCCCTTGTTTTAGCAAAAACATTTTCGTTGCCCCTAAATTTTCGATAAAGTCTCAGAAAATATCGTTCATACGGTTGAATGCGAGCGGGATATAATTCACTGTAGTATTCTCTTGCTCTCAAGGAGGATTTTCTGCACACTAAATAGCATTCTAACATATCACACTTTTCTTCATGGGAGAACATTTTTCTTTAAATTAATGACACAATAAAGCTTATAAACAAGTATTTACACTAATGTTTGACATTATTTGATTTTATCATTGTTTTCCAAAGCCTTCTAGTTGCGAGTATGTCCAGTTTAACAATTTGTCGCTTATCTTAATGCTGTCAAATCGCGAACGCCATGTTGTTTTCATAGCCGTCTTAATATTATAATACTGCAAATAATTAAAAATATTTATCGTTATTTTGACTTTATTTTTGACTTTAGCGGAAAAATCATTATGAACTTTTTTGTTTAAAATTTGATGATTTAACAGAAAAAAATATAATATACAGGGGTTTCCATTTAAAAAAATGTTATTTTACTGAAAAAAATCAAAATAACGACTCTCAATTGTTTTTTTTTATTTCTCATTTTTACCAGCGTTAAAAATGCTACTAGTTTGCTAATTCAAACAACTTTGTATTTTCACTAATAACAAAGTTACTAATGGTGGACACTTAATTTGGATAACCCTGTATACTAGCAGTTTTTGAAATTTTGTTTTTGCACAAGTTTTATGATGGGTTGAAGTGCGCACTTTTTCTTTTCAACTTCGCGATTTTTTTAAAAGGAACCTAGTGAAGAAAATGAAAAAGTGGCTCTATAGCACCCTGTGGAGTTTTGTTTTCAGCACTCTGTGAAAATTTTATCCAAAAATATTAAAAAATAAAGCGTCAATTTGGAAGCACGCACACCTCTACAAATCTTATTTTGGACGAATTTTGTCTACTGTTTCGTGCTGCCAATCTAAGCGTTGCGGCGCAATGTACGGACTAAGAAAGGACGTATTCAGATAATTTGGTGGCCTTATTTCATATAATATCGCGTAGATAAGTCGTTCTGCAAATAGGTATTCATAATCGCGATCGCTGATACTCCTCGATTTTAAAGCCGTTTTACTTCCCACGTCATTGGCGAGGAAGTATTGTAATCGCGAAAAATTTCTAAAATGCGATGTTATGTTTTTTAAGTCATATGACATCTACATCACGAAAAACTGTATCACTCATCAACTTGGGAATTTCCACACGGAGTTACTAGTATGCCAAAGCTTTGTTGTTTTAGTCCAGTGGCAACGGTGCTATAGGCAAAAAAGAAAAAGTAACAATTGCTGAAACTCCGTTTTTGAGATTACAGGGGTTCCTTATCATTGACAGAAAAAAATGGTACTGCTTAAAAAGTGGGGGTTGGGGGAAGGCGATTCTGAATTTTGCATCTTTGATATCAGTGAAACACGTTCTATTATTAAGAAGCTTCTGATCCCAGTGATTACAGTAAATTTAAGTAACGAAAATCCGACGAATAATGTGCTTACGATTTGAAAAAATCGGTACCTGCTCCATAGATTTGCCACCAAGAGCCAACAGATCTATCTGCAACTGGCGACAGTAGGGAAGAATAAATTCGGATATCACTCCAGTCAAGTATAGGGGAATTTAGCGTGGAACTTTAAAATTATCGATATGTTAAGGAAATATGTTTTTGAGAACGATAATTTGGTAGATTTTATATCTGCATTTTCATTTAAATTTCATGAGCCGTGAAATGTACCCATTTCGCCGTTACGTTCAATTTGTGTTCTGCAGTTTGTGATGTTTTTCTGGATATAAGCAGGACATAATTGCCTAAGGTGCTATCAGAGCGTTTTCAAAATTTTGTCTTTGCGCAAGAATTATGGTGGGTTGATATGCTTACTATCGAATTTGTGCTCAACTTCTTGATATTTTAAAAAGATCCTAGTGGATAAAATCGAAAAAGTGGATCGTTAGCACCCTGTGGACTTTGTTTTTAGCACGCTGCAAGAGTTTCATTTGGAAATAATAAAAAATGAAACGTAAGCTGTGAAGTGCAAATCGGTTTTTGGGCGAAATTCGTCTACTGTTTTGTCCTGTCAGTCCAAGCGACGCGACGGTGCGTTCCGACTAAGAAAAATGTATTCAAATAATTTGATATCTTTCCAACTCAAATATAAGCGCATGGTAAAGTCAGCAACCCCGATTTGATGAATTCAAACTTACAAGGATCTCTATATTTCAAGCCAGACATATAGCGGTTACATCGCCTTTGCATGCCAAAAACTTTCTGTATATATGAAGAGTGTCCCCACTCCAACATTGCATTATGTCATTTTGGAGTGGAAATATGCATATTAACCTTACAATCCTTTTTTGCAATATGAATACGCGCTGAGCATCCACAGAGCAACGCTAACAGGGGACAAGGTATTTCGAACGAGGATATACGATTGCAAAATAAACATCCAGTAAATGTTTAGTATTCATTATGTTTTTTAAGTTACGCAACGCATAATACGGTGAGTTGTGTTTTTCATTGTATAATCCAGATGATCTCTCTAGCTGAGTCTTTCATGTACAATTATCCCCTTAAAAAGTTTGTTTCTTCAACCGTGTCAAAAACTGAGTTATTTAAATTCATTTTCTAGTAGACTATTGAACACTTTCTGACACATATAGGCTAAGAAATAGGGATGTTTTTTATAAGAAAATCCTACAATTTGGGCGACATTAAAGTTTTTTGGTGGTATCGTTATATGATGATATTTTGGTAAACGTATTTCTTCGAAAATCTTGATCGTATGTAAAAAGTAATAGAAACAATTTTGTACTGAATTAAATTCATCATTTTGCTCCTATAAAATTGTGTCGTATGGTCAACAGATTACGTAAAATTAAAAGGTGAAGATATTATAAGATCGATGCCCGGATATTGCTTTTTAAAAAAGTTTTTTATTCGAAAATACAAAATTATTACAATAATATTATGATGTAAACAGTACAAAGGCTTAAAGCTGACTGGCTGTAAAATCTGTTGAGAACAATAAAGTAAAGTATAGGTCTTCTAGGTAATTAGTGGCATGGTCAGCAGGAACGGCTGATATAACTCATGTGGTGATTATTCTGCTTACAGTGGCTATATTAAGAATCTGATAGTAACAAACACTACATTTTGTAGAGAAACAAAATTGCTACATATCAGTGAAGTGTTACTGCATCAAACCGATAAACTTGTGAAATTTATCAAAGACATTGACATGTACTACAATACATAGATTATTGTGCCGTCCACGCCGCTAATAACCCTACGAGGTTGATGCGGTACTATCTGTTAAATAAAAAAAAATTGCTACAAAAAATATCTTTTTCGACACCTAATGGTTCTTGAAATATAAAGAGGGAAAGTTGAAAATTCGTATAAAACTTGTCGCGGGACATACTACGTACGCTACGTTGTCCATTTAATGTAGAAGAATCATTATCTGTGATCAGGAATACCATTTTAAAGTAAATCATTTTTTTGTGACTTTTGCAAAATAATGGGAGCAATGGCAATTTCATTTGCGATGAAATGCAGGTCGTTGCCATTATTTTCTATAATTTCCTCATCACTTGAGGATGACATGCTTATTAATTTGATAAAAAACTGTATCCAGTAAAAATTCGGAACGGTCTGTGTAAGCTCTGGAGTACAACTGTCAGTGATGCTGAGTGAACGAATTCCCACGTCAAGTACAAGCTGGAACATGACGCTCAAGATACAAATACCAGTCAACCTTTTACTTCTTCTTGGAGGATATCCTCGCGAGTATAAGGTAATTATTATGAATATGAAAACAAGGATATGCTTATACTTCTACCTTTTTCTCCGAAGCAAGACCTTACACTTTTACCTTATACTTCCGGCTCATTGTCACTGAGTAATTTCAGTAACCATAATTCATCCACTTAGAATTTTTATGTTCTCGTCTCTTCCGCATATTGTAACAGCTTTACGAATTTTTGAAAACATTTTGCCCGGGTTTGGATGAAAAATAATATTTATAGTGCATTACTACTGAAGATAGCGGTAAAAATGATTTTCATAACAAATATAAATAATGCTTCAATTTGTTATGCTTGGACGAAATTTCCGCTTTCGTGAATGCGGCTTAAAAGTATCTTGAACGGATGCAGAAATATTTATATTATTCAATTTATAACTTCATTCCATTTTTTTTTCGTTATGATTATTTATTTTCCGATTATCCTCCTGAGTTCCAATGCGTTAAGTAGTTTTGAACGACTGTAGTGAAAGAACAAGCCTATGTGCGTGCTCACCACTAGTTCATTAACAAATTGAGGGGCTTATTTATAGAAATTCCTTGACTATTTAGTGCCGCTTGAGGAATGACCTTTCCTTAAATTTCAATCAAACAATGACGCTGCCTTGAGGAACGTTCAAGGGAGGATTTAACATTGACATTTCACAGTGGGCTCTAACAGGTTGGAAAATTTTCGAAATTTTGTACATTTTCCGTTTTTTCCAGTAAGTAGCTTCATGTAGTACTTAGAGATTTAACATATCGGAAAAAACGGGAAAAATTAGGAAAAAACACGTTTTTTCCAGACCATGGGAAAAATTGGAAAACATGGGAAAATTTAAATATTTTTTAGTTATGACTTGAAACGTAAAAAATAGGTACGAAGTTTTTTAAACATATTTTGTAAAAATAAATACAAAAAACATACTTTAATAATATCTATTAATATCTAAGATATAAATACATACATGTATATAGGGTCAAATTATAATTATTATCTGATAATTGAAAGTATCAAAAACAAAGCTTCAAAGGTAGAAAACACATAATTTAACCTAAGCGCTCAGAGGTATATTTTCATCTGAGTCTGAGTTTGAATCTTCAGACCAAGCATCTGATTCAGACTCGATCTCCGCTTCGTCTTCATGGACGGACAAAACAGCATAATCTTTGCCAGTGTCTTCTAAAAGTGGAACTGGTCTAGCATCATAAATGAATGTCTGTTTTTCGTTTATAACCAAATTAGAATGAATAGCAACCAGCTTCTGAATTTTATCCTGTGATAATCTATTTCTTTTGCTTGTATGTATGAGACCGTGTAAAGACCAGTTTCTTTCTGAACAGGCGGAAGATGGCGGTCTTTTTAAAATTCGGGAGGCAATTGGCATAAGTGGCTGCGATGTACACAAGCCTTGCCACCATATAACCGGATGAGTACTATTCGCACTATCCCATAAAGAATTTCGACTAAAAAATCCAGTTTTTGTTCTAAATTGGGCTAGATTTGCCACCACCTTCCCTACATCTAGATTTAGTGAACGAGCCATTTCAGAAATGAAGTCTATTGCTTCCATTAGTTGGTCTTCATTCAATTGTTCTCCTTTAAAGCGAGCATCAAGAAGATTGGCTGCAAAGTGAATCGGCTTAGAACAAAATTCGTAGCGTTCTTCAACATATTTTAGCAAGCTTTCGATAAGAGAACTAGTCAGGTCAACTTGTTGAGGAATATCTAATATTGTGTCTTTTAACATATATACTTAAAGACAAAAGGCACTTCTGATAATATAGATCTATCCGATTCTACTAAATTTATCGATTTTTATACAGGATGCAGGATTTGTTTAGTATATTGAAGGTTTTGCCAGAACGCATCATCCAATACAACTTTTTTAATATTTTGTTTTACATTCAGGTTTTCCACTAATACAGTACATTGCAGAGCTTCCTTATATCTTAAAAGCAAATCAACAGTTATAAACAGAGAACCCCATCTTGTTTTTGCAGGCAATTTGAGGGAAATTACTTTATTTTTTGGGTATTTTTCGGCCTCTGCTTCTTTAAATGCAGCATGAAGTATGTGGTGCTGTTTAAAATATTTACAAATTTTTTTAGACTCTTTACTTATTTTTTCAAACAAATTTTCTTCAGAGTGTGAGCTGCACAACCAACACAAGATATATGAGGATATGTTGTATTTATAATATGCCAAGCAGCTTTCATATTGCTCGCATTGTCAGTCACTATTAAAAAAAAATGTGTGGCCCTATTTCTTGAATAACTTTGATAAGTTCAATACTTATATACGTTCCAGTTTCTTTTGCAGTGCCACGATGAACAGTTTTGTAAAATAAAGGTATAGGCGTGCATATAACAATATTGATTAATTCATCTCCGACTATATTTGTTCAACTATCTGTTACTATTGATATACTATCGGATTCAGAACGGAATTAAGTAAGTTTGTTGACAGGGCGTAAGGGCTAGGTATTTGGTATGGTCTTAACATTTTAAAAACCTGTTCCCAATATTTATTTTTGAAAAGAGAAAAAGGAGCACCAGAAAACTAAAGAGCCCTAGCTAGTGCCTCATCAATTTTAGAAGACTCTGAAGCAGCTAGCTTATCGAAAAACCCACTCAATGTTTGTTGGCAGCTAGCTTTCTTGCGTTTTACTGACGGTAATGGAGATTAGGAAGATGATGACATTGATGACGTGTCCTTTTTGCTAGTTGAAGGGAGACTGGTATCTTCTAATGCTTCTAGCAGGATATCTTTGTTACCTTCTTTTTCTTCTGACGTCGAAGACTTCGAACTCGATTGTATTTCATTGCCATATTTTTGTTTAATTTCCAAAGGACATTTTGAACATTGGTTTAATATATGATTCGTCATGTGAGTTGCGTTTGGAAAGGCGTATTTAAAACAGCAAAACTTACACGCAGCCTTGGATTTTTTATCTGTTTTTTCAATATCAAATAATTGCCAAATATCTGAAGAAGGTCGAACCATATTGTCCTGCAACAAGAAAAATAAATAAAATATCTTGCTGCACTTTATCAACTGATCAAATTCTTGTAATTTAATGAGTATACAGATAATAATTATTATTACTGAATCTTGATATTAGTAATAAAGAAAAGTAAGGATACTATACAAGGAAACTGAAATCCCACCTTCAAAAAACTTAAAGCTATTCCAAATTTAATAAAATATTCACTTACCAGAAACCGAAACAAACACTTGGGTCAACAACACTAACAATCTTCAGAACAAACACAATCAATTATTACAGCAAAATTTCACTTTGTATTATTCATTTACTGCGCTTATGATAAGGCTACATTAAAATGCGTGCTTTAAAATAAACAAGACGTGTCAGTATTGAAGAATTCATTCTCAACTGAACAATTCAGGAATACGGGGATTTACCGAAATGCCGTGTCGCTGTGCGTGATCGGGAATTAACCGAAAGCTGTAGCTGTAGAGAACTAATCCTTCAGAGCCGTAGCCTCGGGTTTTGATTCAAATTATTTCTGTTTGATTTATATTAATGGAAAAATCAGTAACCAGAATACTTTTATCTTGTATATAGCAAATTTCAATTTTTCCGGAAATTTTAAATCTCTAGCTAGTACTTGACAATAAAATTACTTGAAACGTTAATGTTTGACTTGACTTGATTTTTTTTCTACTTTACTTGAGGTCAAGCATTTTCAAACTACTTGATACTTGATGATACATTCGATGAGTTGTATTTTATATTTTAAATAAAATTGTATCGGCCATCTCAAATGATGCACAGCGTTGCCAAACCAAAAAAATGTCGTCAAGTAGGTTAACTCTGCACTTCCCACGCAACGCCTTCCCACGCAACGCCCTTATCAGTACATAAAGGAATATGTTCAGCACAAACTAGACCCTCTGAAAAAAAAAGTCAGTCAAACAGGTCCATACAGTTAGATCATAGACATTTCTGTGCCCTACCAGCATCAAAAAGTTGAGATAAGCCCTCCCCACCCCCTTGTAAACCTCAACGCCAAGTTTTTTTTGTCTCTCAATTTTTTTCAAAATTGATCGGGATCAAACTGCTGTCTTGATTCTGGCCTAAAGGCCGTCGTCGGTTTATCAACTGGCCGCGAAAGCCTTAACCAATTTGTCATGATTAGGATCCTCTGATACGTCAGTTTGTGAGATTTTTACTTTTTTGGTTTTAGGCGTTTTTCTCTGCCAACACTGGACCGATTTTCAACAACTACAGAGCTTTTTATAGGCGCTTATAAGATTAGCGAATAGACAGACAGACGGAAATGAGTGACATGTTTTTTCGTGTCACATAACATCCAAAAAACAATGTCCCATTTTCGAAAATTTTCGCGATCACTTCCCCGCGAGTATGCCTGGGAAATAAAACCCGAAATCGGCAGATAGTATCGGTAGATTCAAGGACAAAATCGGTAGGAAGAAGAAATCAGGGCTGGCGTAGGGACGTACTAAGGGCATTTGGGCCATGCAGCACCATCTATGAAAAGTACATTTTCGTATAGCGCGGACATATATACTAAGTGACATATAAATCCGAACACCCAGTTTAAATGGTTTTATCTTAATAAAAGTTTGTGAATGTATTTATCTTACTGTAAATAACAAGTGAAAAAATTTTCAGCCTTATCAGTTGGACATTCCGGTTTTTATACTGCTTTTTTTTAATTCACTAACGCTCTAAAAATGAATATTTCAGCCGCAGTAAAGAATCAACGTTGGCGGATTTTGGTTCTTGACATCCTTTACGATCGGTTACGATGCCTAGAGTACGGAGACCTGTACGATTTCGTCAACTTAGTGAGTTTGATAGGGGCCGTATAGTGGGACTTCGGGAAGCTGGACTTTCTTTTCGGGCAATTGCAGTTAGAGTGCAAAGAAGTGTAGATACTGTGGTTAGGTGTTGTCAGGCATGGCTTCGAGAATGCCGTATGCAAAGAGCAAGGGGCACTGGACGCCGCCGTAGAACAACAGACCGTGAAGATCGCCGCCTAAGATTATTGGCCTTAAGGGACCGTTTGTCCACTACCAGGTCCACTGCAAATGAATGGTTTGCAGAACACAGAAGACTTATTGGCATGCGAAGTGTTTACCGACGAATGAGAAGTTTTGGCTTGTTTTCATACCGGCCACACTGGGTCCTCCCTTTAACTCGAGAACACCGACGTAATCGCCTTGAGTGGTGCAGACAATGGTCACTCTGGGATCAGGAATGGAACAGTATTGTCTTTAGTGACGAGTCTCGATTTTGTTTAGGCATGCACGATGGTCGTGCCAGGGTTAGAAGGCGACGTGGTGAAAGGAGGAATCCACAGTTTTTTTGTTGAAAGACATGTTCATCACACTGTTGGAGTTATGGTTTGGGGTGCTATAGTTTATGGTCACCTTTAATTTTCATCAGAGGTAACATGAACGCGCAGCGTTATATCCACGAAGTTCTTCTACCCTATCTTGACACCCTGGCAGATCCAACTTTCCAACAAGATAATGCCCGACCACATGTTGCAAGAGCCACAATAGACTTCTTTCAACATAATGATGTCACATTGTTACCATGGCCACCAAGAACTCCCGACTTATCCCCAATTGAGCACGTGTGGGATATGATGGGTAGGAGATTGCTCAATTTGCAACGTCCTTCTCAGACTCTATAAGCACTTCGAGAGGAGTTGGTGGTTGCCTGGAATGAGATACCACAGGAGGACATTGACCACCTGATCAGAAGCATGCCTAGGCGCGTTGGAGAATGCGTAGCACATCAGGGTGCATCAACACATTATTATAGGTCAAAGGGCTTTAAATCAGTGCAATCATTTTGAAATTTTTATCATTTACTTATTATGCTTCAATAAGTACTTATACAAAATTTTATTAAAATAAAACCATTTAAACTGGGTGTACGGATTTATATGTCACTTAGTATATAATACAAATACACTGATGCTTATCGATGCATCAATATATCGATATACAACCATTCCAAAACATCAATGTTCTAGGTTTCATGTATCAATGTATCCTTACCATCCCTAGGTAGTAATCAATCCAAGCAAGGTTCGGCCGTGTAAACATTGGTGCGAAAATGCAAATTTTGGTTTGAAAAGCAAGGTTGAAATCGCTTTAAACTAATCTGAAAATAGTCTTCAAGGTATTGTAGAGCAAGGTTTTAACTTTGACTTGGATACATGGAGGCCTGAAAGTAATATTTTTTAAGTTTTTGCTCGGACAAATATTGTTCAGGTTTTTGGATCATTCCTAACAAAAAAAAGGCTGCCATCAACTTTTCTCTAAAGCTGAGAATTTTCGAGTTATCAACGATTTAATGCCTGAAAGCGCTGAAAATTTTTATATTCAGTACTTGAAAACTCGATTAAAAACTATCATTTTTATGTTGCCAAGAATCTAAATTAAAGTTTAGACTTCGCCTTTGCAGGACCCCGAAGAGTAATTTGAGATTACCTTATTTTAAAATTTTTAACTTTGTCGGTCATAATTGGCGAACTTCTAGTTTTCACATACTGTACATGTCATGAATCTCTCATTGAAGTTCCTCTCATTCAACTTATCGGACACCCATCGCGAATATTTCCAACTATGACCCGAAATAGTTTATTCAACTTCCTCATGTCAAAAATGCTTTTCGCTTTAACATGTCGTCCTCGGTCACATAACGTCGCCTACATCGTGGTTTATTATTCGTTTGAAATTTTCCGAAGCATATTCTGCACGTTCTGTTAGAAACTCAATGTTCACGAAAAACTTTTAATGAATTCCTACTCGCTTCCATAGCATTTCTCTCCTATTGCAATTCGTACAAAATACAGTGTCGTGAATTGACCCAGCAGTCATCGATACACTATCGCATCTCTAAATTCTAACCCGAATCGGTTTTATAGTTCATTCGCAAGACCAGCATGAGTAAGAGAGCCCTGTTTCAGTGACGTTGGCCCAGCTATCAAAACTATGTTTTTTAAGAAATTTTTCATATTAGCGGAAACGTATTAAAAACTAAAATGTATTTCTGATAACACTGGTGAACAAAATTAAAATAATTTTTTGTGACATGGACAAAACAAGGCGGTTTTATGTAAAACGTACCCAAAAAGCCGGAAATAGCATTAGATTTTTTTCTATCATCCACGGTTTTCTTGCAATAAGGCATTTTATTTGCTGCTTATACTCGTAAAATATAAGGATATGTATGTAAGAGTACTAATAAGCACTCGAATAAATATTAATCTCAGAATGTTTTTGTCGATGTTTTACGGCGATATGTTGCTCCTGAAGTATCTCTCAACACTGTCCAGCAATAATCAGCAATCAAATTTACACTCCATTTGCCTTTATACCATTTTTCCATGGCAGAAATGTTTTGGTGGAACCGTCCACTATGTTAGAGACATGTTACATCCCATTCCTTTATAAGCGTTAATTAGTTCACTTACAATATCTTTATAATTGGCCGCCTTCACATTGCATAAAAAAATTGCAGTAACTGACTTAAAAGCATTCCAAGCTCGTAACTCAGTTTCATTAGAGCACTGTCAGATACATCATCCTTCATGATTTTCCATGTTTGTGGACCCACAAATATGCCCTCTTTAATTTTTGCCTCACTTAGTCCCGGAAATGTTTGTTTTAAATGCAGAAACCCTCTTCCATTTCGATCCATAGCTTTCACGAAATTTTTCATCAGTCCCAACTTAATATGCAAAGGTGGAAGCAACACGTTTTTGGGATCAACTAGTGGTTCATGAGCAATGTTTGGCCACTCCTTCTGTTCATAATGACGATCTCGCGCACGACTGTCCCATTCACAAAGAAAACAACAATATTTGCTATATCCTAGTTGCATTTCAAGAAGGGCTTTTACCTTTAAATCTGCAGATATGGCCCATCCATATTCATTATAACGGATATGCTCCAACAGAACTCGCATATTCTCATATAATTCCTTCATATGAACGGCGTGCACTATAGGTACAGATGGATATTTATTACCGTTGAGTACCAATACTAAGCTTAGAGGAGTCAATGAACAGGCGCCAATCATTTGGTTCATGTTTCTGTCCTGACGCGTCAAACAAATTGTTGACATCGGAGCAATATACAGGGTGGTCCATAAGTCCTTTGAAATTTCAAATTTGAATAAAATTTAACGGGTGAGCGTAAGCGGCGCGGGCCAGGTGGGGGCAGTATCTTCAGTGTCTGGGAATTCAGTCGCCATGGAGTGTTTCACTGGAGCGGATCGTGCTTTTTGTGTGCGCGCGTTTTATCAAAATAATGATTCGGCAACCATTGCGCGGATTAAATA